AAGGGATGGAAAAGGAGGTGCTGTGTATTTTCACTGAAGTAGAAAGTGAAGTGATCTGCAGACACTGAAGATCTGATGAATTTATAGGTCAATAAGAAATACTAGGTAGATTTCACATTATAAGAGCTAAAAATACCATTTAAAAAATAAAATGAAGAATGTTAGAATATAATATTAAAAAATACAAAAGCAAGATACTAAGATGTAAAAAGAATTCCTACTGATAGAAATTAAAATAACCTAATAAAAAAAATCAACAGATAAGAATAAGCATATGACCAAGGTCAAATGACAGAATGCCACTGTATAGAGAAATTGTGGCTTGAAAGTGCTAAGGATCCGGAAAATGCATGTAGAAGGATTATATTTGGAAGGTTAAAATGAAAAAATACTGGTAGTTCCCAACTGATAGAAGATGCAAAGTGCACTTTTTCGCCCACTGTTGAAGTGTAACTGTTTACACCACACGGAGGGCACGTTGTCACTTTCTCCAAAAAGTTTTAAATGCGCCTTTTTTTGGACATACCAATTGCAATTTTAGAAATCTTATTAAAATTTCCAAGTATGTACAAAATTGAAGCTACAAAGATGTGTAAGACAACTTTCTTCATGGCAGCAAAGAAATAGAAACAAATATTCATGAATAGGAAAATAATTACTTTAATGATGGAATGTTTCAAAGTGCTAAATAGGCATCAAAGAGCATGAAGTGGACCTCTGTACTGTTTTCAACTGTAGAAATATTTCCAGGACACCATTAAATGAAAATAAGACGATTCTTCCCTTACAAAGGAAACGCCCTCACAGATAAGGCTGCCAAATTTGCGCCAGAGAACAGCAAACCTTACAAGCTGTAGTTCTCCTGTGAAGGAAAAACCAGGCTGGGCTAACAAGGTAACTCACAAGTCTAAGTATTGGAATACTGATCTGAGTTCTGCTGGACTAACTTGGAAATCTAAGCTAATTAGTGTTGGTTTGCTGTTCATGTTTTTTGCTAGCCAGCTGGGTTTTCAAACATACATATCTGGCTTCGGAATGTTGGTTTGCTGCCTCCCCGCCTCCACTTTTGTGATGATAATGCTGCAAAAGCTGTTCCTTGCCTATTGGCCTAATACCCCAAGCTTGTACTTTACCCTATAAAAGCTCATGCGCACATCTTGGAGGTGCTCAGAGCTTCGGAGCAGAAGCCCCTCTGAGCCCTCCAGCGTAATACGTCTCAGTACTCCAACCCTCCGAGTGGTGCTTGTTTCTTGACTGGCCTGTCGTTTCCATAACACTCCTACCTGAGGACCAGCTTGTCCCAAGGGTGTGGTCCTCTACACCTGAAGCGGTTGAATGGGCTAAACACGGGAAGAATCTCTTTGGGTTGCTGACAAAAGATAATAAGCTCCTCATTCTGGGGACAAAGAATGGACAATAATTAAGATTCTCCAAGAGTCCAACTTCGTAGCGTGGGGCTCCATTCTCAGACTAATTTCTCAAATGTTCCTAGGCAAGGGACTGTCCTAAACTAAGGAAGTCACTAGGTCCTGTGAACTTTGTGCCCACAATGACCCAGGGAGTCACCCAATACCCCCACGCTTACTCTGGCCCACACAACATCGGGGAACTTCTCCAGGGGAAGACTGGCAAATGGACTTTACCCAGATGCCCCCTGTAAGGGATGGAAATGCCTGCTGGGGTTCACAGACACCTTATAGGATGGGGAGAAGCTTTCCCCACCAGAATGGACAAAGCAACAGAAGTGTCAAAACTGCTCAGAGAAATATTCCCAAGGTTTGGGCTGCCAAAATGCTTACAGAGTGATAATGGTCCCTCCTTCACTGCCAAGGTGACTCAACAGGTTTCCTCCTCTCTGGGTATTAACTATCGCCTCCACCCTTCCTGGAGGCCCCAATCCTCAGACAAGGTGGAACAAGCAAATCACGTTCTGAAAAGAACACTTGCTAAGCTAAGACAGGAGACTTCAGAAACCTGGGTCTCCCTCCTGCCTGTAGCCCTTCTAAGAACAAGAATGGCCCCGAGGGAATTTTAAACCTTAGCCCATTTGAAATGTTGTATGGGAGGCCCATTTTAACTGCAGATTTCCTGTTTGATGAGGAGACCCATAAACCAGTCTCCACATTGTTCGCTTGAGCCAAGTTCAAAGTGCCCTCCAGGAATATGGAAACCAAGTGCTGCCCTTTCCCGCAGAGAAAGAAGTTCCAGTCCCCATCCAGTCAGAGGACTCTGTCTTACTAAAAACTTGGGAGGAGGGGTCCCCTGAAGACCAGCTGCAAGCAACATGGAAGGGACCATATCAGGTCTTACTAAGTACCCCAAGTGCCCTTAAGCTACCAGGAACTGCTGGTTGGGTGCATCTGTCTAGAATAAAACCTGTAATTTATAAGCCCCAACAGGAACCAGGAAAAATCTATATTGCAAAGCAATACAAGACCTCAGGTATCTGTTTTAAAAAAACACCACCATGTAGCGATGATTACAACAGTTCATAATTGCTTAAATATATCCAAATAAAGCTCCTAAAATAAGTATTTTAATACACAGCGAGAAAGATGTATGTTTTCAGTAAAAGAGTTTCGTAAAACAGAAAAATTTCGTGCATAATCAGGATTTTAAATATCTAACAAAGTCTAAATTTCTTTGTCACTCCAGCTAACTTTGAGACGCTTTAAAGGAAACCTGGGGCATCTTAGACATTAAGTTAACTTGGATGTTTTTTAATACATTATGTTAAATATAATCAGTCATAATTCTAGCAATCACAAACAAGTCTCTATCGATTATAGATGTTTAACCATGACATTTAAGTCTTTTTGTCATTACAAACTGTCAGATTGCTATTACAAAGGTGCTTCATCTTTAAGAAAATTCATCAGAAGTCCATGGAAACAGTGGGTTACAGCAGCCCCACGTCAGTTGATGGCCACGTGAGGATCCCAGCCCACCCCCTCAGCCCTTGGATGCAAAAACAAAAGGCTGTCCTGCCCCTGGGGCCCCTAGATTAGTTATTCAGAGAGTTTAATTCCCTGATAGGCAGGGTCAACGCCCCTACTCAGCCTGGAAGCTGCTTCAGAAGATGGGCATTCTTCCCTCTGCAACCCCATAAGATTATGGGAGTAAAGTCTCTTAGAGGGGAATGAGACAGGAAGGGGGCAGGGCACAGCCATTCAAGGAATCACACAGCAAAAAACACCAAAATGGTGAAAGAGTCAACCCCCAGTAGGCCTTGAGGCTCGAGATGATGGGACATTTAACTTCTAACAGATCTTGAGCTTCATGATACGCCCATTGTAATATAAGCATGGTGAATGTCATGCCCACAGGCCCACGGCAGTCCCAAGGCTGGCCATCAAAGGTCAGAGTGGGAAATGGCCAACTCCTTGGGAATCCCAGCCCCTTCCCCAGGCTACTTAGCTTGGTCCTTCCACTTATTTGCTTATGAAGCCACCAAGCCTATGAAAGCGGGCAACTTGTGGCCTCCTGTCTCTCTCCCTCTGTCTATGGAATGTGTACCTACTTTTAACCTGAGCACCCAACCCCCACACCTCATGGCCTTTCTCTTGCCTTTCAATGTATCTCTCTGAATAAATCTAAATTTACTCAAAAAAAAAAAAGACAAATATTTCCAGGGCACTATTAAATGAAATTCAAAACACAAGTTGCAGAAATTAAAATTGTGAGTGAAAATACTGCAATGTGAATGAAAATACTGCAACCATATCAGTAAACAAAGAATGCTGAAACCAAGTCATCAGCGGCCGCCGCCACCCCCCAGGGAGGACAGGCCTGCAGCCCAGCCTCTGCAGCCACTCACAGTGGTGCACCCTGAGGGGACTCAGAATAAGAAAGGACAGGATACTGGCCCTAGGTAGCTAGGTGCTTGTCAAAGGAATGAATTCAATGAGCCCAAATGTTTGCTCCCATACATAGAAAAGCACTAAAGTCTTTAAATTGAGATGCCTGGTTTTCTTTAGATTACAAGCAATCTTTTATTGTTCCAACTACCTGGTCTTTGTTGTAAAGCTCCTATATATCCTAGCTCCTCCCTACCTCTTCGGAGCGGTCCCTGGGAGCGATCTGAGAGGCTGTCATCCTGGCTCGAGTCCTCCTGTCAAATAAAACATTACTCTCAACTTTTAGGCTGTGCGTTTATTTCAGTCGACAAAATAAATCCAATTTACAAGGCAAACTGACTGTGTACGTATACGTGTGTGGGTAAATGTGTATGTAGTTGCATAAGATGATAAGGAAAGATACATGTAATGGAAGCAAAACAGGCTTGCTTGACACACTTTAAACTATAAGAATTGGTTTTCTTGGAGAAGGACTGGGCGCTCGAGGAGCATGAAGGAGACGCAGCCCTGGGCTCTCACTTCTGCTCTGCCTGAGGCTCAATCTTGATTCTTTCCAGCCCCCAGGGGAACCGCTACACTAACTTCATATACGTTATTCCCATGCAATTTTTACTATGTTTAGCATTGTCATTCCATGAACAATTGCATTCTTTTTTCTTTCTTATCCTGAGTCCGCTCAGGGTGCACCACTGTGAGTGGCTGCAGAGGCTGGGCTGCAGGCCTGTCCTCTCTAAGGGGTGGCGGCAGCTGCTGATGACTTGGTTTCAGCATTCTTTGTTTACTGATGTGGTTGCAGTATTTTCATTCACACTGCAGTATTTTCATTTACACAGCATAAGATGATATGGGAAGATACATGTAATGGAAAGAAACCCCACTTGCACAATACACCTTAAACTCTCAGAATCGGTTTTCTTGGAGAAGGACAGTGGGCGCTCGAGGGGCAGGAAGGAGACGCAGCCTTGGGCTCTCACTTCTGCTCTGCTGAGACTTTTATGAGGAGATGGGTCTCTGTGTTACTTGGTAAGCTCCAAAGATCATGAAAACTCTTTGTAGAGGCAGGACTTGTAGACAAATTTCAAAATTGATATTCACTTAATCTTCATTTCTTTTCAAAAGACTTCATCACAAGCATGCATGCTCCTGAGTAGCAATAAGAAACATTTCAGATTTTTCTCAGAGAAAGGCTACTTTATTTCTGGGAAGCAGAACAACTGTAATAATGTGCATTTCAGAACGTGGGCTTGCCCTGGGTCCGAATGAAACACGCCTTTGGGACAAGTTGGATTATTTGTATTTTTCCCACCTTTTATGTGGAGACAAACACACTGAAACCAGCATTCTATTGACAAGATAAGGAGCCATGGCAAATTATTGGTGCCTCTTCACTGTGTTGCTATATTTAAATCATGATTTGTAGACTCCTCATAACTCGTCTCAGCCACATCAACCAGTGAAGCTCTTATTCCTTGTCCTCTCTGTCTTCTCTGCTTTATCCATATTCTCACTCTTTCCTTCCCCTCACTTTCCCTCTGACTGCTGACTCTCCTTCTAGGTGGCTCTAGATTTGCTCCCAGTGGCTGCAGCCTCCCCGTCCCTCCCCTCCTTGCCACCAGGGAGATACTGCGCAGGTGCAGCCCCGTCGGTCCCGTTGTGCCTCTGTCAGGGCGCAGTAGTACACAGCGCTGCCTCTCAGGGCGACCCGGGGCAAGACCAAGGTGCTGGACTTTCTGTCTGTCGCTATGGTCAGAGAGGCCATGTGGTTGCTCACAGTGTCCTGTAAGCCTTGAATGATGTACTGTGGACTCTGACTGGGCTTTTGCCGATACCAGTGTATATAGTCACTTCCACCAAAGGTAGCGTGGTTGCAAGGCAGGGTTACGTCTTCTCCTTCAGCAACATCTTTGGATTTGGGCTGGTCAATCTCAGCCTCAATCACAGTCCCTAAGGGGTCAAGAAAATAAAATTAGCTCCTGAGCACACATCAGTGTAATTCTGTGGATAAAGGACACAACATTCCCACATTCTCTGAGCCTGCCCACAACTCCAGTGTTTTAATTTGTGTCCTGCAAAAATATCATTGCTGCTCCTTACAAAGACCAAACATACACAGCAAGAATCAGAGATTCCAGAGGCTCTAATCCATGGATCCTTTACTCAATAAACCCAGAGATTTCTTACAACCTGGGTACTGCTAGGAGCTCTTCTGGGGTCAGGGCTGATTTAATCTGTCATGTAGAAGTTCATGCTCCCCAGCAAACCCAG